CCTCGGCGCGGGGTCGAGGACGCCGGCGCCTGCCCTCTGCGGCCTGGTCCCTGCCGGCGAGCGTGGTGTCGGCTGGGCACCGTTCTTGCGATCTCACACGGTGCGGGTTACGAGGAGCTTGGCGCAGCCCTGAGCCGCCTTCGTGGCAGGTCCCGGCCAGCACAGCGCGGGAAGCAGAGCTCTCAGTCTCTGCTCTCGCTCCACTCCCCTCGCCTGCTCCCCTTGACCCCTCCGCAATCTTCCCGCGCACCCTCCTCCGGAGTGCTGGTTGGTGAGGAATGACAAAGACCTCCCAGCCAGGGGCCTTTAGAAGCAGAGCTTGCTGTGTAAATGCGTCGAGTGCCGCTCCCTTGATCCTCAGTGATACCGCACCCGTTTTATAGATCAGATGATGAAGGCACGGACAAGCCAAGAAGCCCTCCCGAGGTCACACGCTTCCCGCGCACCGAGCCACAGTTCGAATCCAGAGAGGGTTCGAGCCGGAGGCCTCTCCCCTGGTCTGCACACCTTGCTTAAGATTCTGAAATGCCTTCGGCGATCCGAAGTCCTCGACTGTGCGCTGCAGGGTGGCAGGGAGGCCCACAGAGGTTGTGCGCTCATGTCTTTAATTGAGAATCCTCACAATGACTTGGCCGGCTGGGCATCGCCAAGAGCCACGGCCCTGCAGTGCGTTTGCATAGGTTGCTGCTCTCCCGAATGCTGGCTGTCATCCTTGGCGTCGGGCTGTCAGGACTACATTTACTTATATCTCGGCCTGGTCTGGGGCGCACTGGACAGGAGCCGCGTCGTCACCATCTTTGCGTCTCCCATGGATCCGCAGCCCTCGGGTTAGCGTGCTCAGTGCTGGTACACCACGGCCATCCTCCCTTCCCTCTTTCCCGTCTCGCACAGGGCTGGGGTTTGCCTTTACTCAGAGTTAGCCTATGGGTATTTGCTTTTCCTGGTCATTATGACAGAATACATCATGTTCTTATGTCTCTGGGGTATGTTTGAGTAGAAAGGATTAGAAAAGTCTATCTTTCATTTCTAATTTCTTGTCTTCCATTTAAAAAGTACACTAAATCCTATTACTCTATTTCAATCTCTTATCACTCAGGGTGCTTTCCTTTCTGCCCCCTTTGTGATCTTTTATTGCATTGCTAAATCATTCATTTTGTATTCCAAACACCGATCCGCACCTTTTTGACAAACTTAACTCTTGCCCAAACATGAATTTAAAAATTGAGGTCCATTGACCAAATACTCAAATCCCAGGAGTCTCCAGGGTGCAGTTCTCTCTCCTGAGCAAATGGACATCGGAGAGACCCTGGATTCTTGGCACAGGGCAGACTCTGATTCCAAAAGGAAATTCAGTAGTATCCAGAACAATCTCTGGTACCTCTACGGACCCGGAGCTGAGGGATCTCAAGGCCATGCCTGAGTTCCGGCCAGGACGGCTGCTCCCCAGTGTATGGTGAAGTGACTCGTGCTGTATGTGGCTGTTCCCGCCCATGCTGGCTGCAGACATTCACATGGGCTTTCATCTCCTCCGGCCTGTATGTTCCCAACAATTACTTCCTCCATATGGCCATACCTGATCGACCCCACAGATCTCTGCGTCTTTCTCTCTTCTGCACCCTGGCATCATCTGAATCCCAAATCTAATGAAGGACTTTTCCAGACATCTTCTGTAGAACTGGAATATTTTTAGACTTTTTTCTGAAATAAATGGTTTTGTGAGACTCTGGAAAGGATGGGTAGTTTCTTACAGTTGTATAATTTAGATGTAGTTTGGCCTTTGTATTATTTTGGTACCTGTGAATCTGTTACCTTATAAATATCCTCCAGACTCTGTCTGTTTCTCTTACCAAAGACACAGTCCTGCGCTTTCTGTTGTCCCTCCTCCATACACCTGGGCTCCAGCTAGCCGTTATGATTAGCAGCCTGTCTAGGGTAAGGGTCTCTCCAGAAGAGCTGGTGGGAGTTTATCTATACCTTTAAAAGCTCTGTCAGGACCTAGAAATGATTTATACTACATGTAAGGCATGAGTTCTGCAACTCAGTGAAGGCACACTCCCCAAACCTAGTTTGGGGGCATAGGTTCCCAAATTCCTTGCTGTACTTATGTAACCTTTATTATTTTTTATCTTTATTAAGTTTGTTGGTATAATTTAGGTATACAATATAGTTACAGTCATGATTGGGATCTTGTACCTTTACATGACTTATCTTGGTTCTTATTTTTCCCCATTCCCCAGCCCCCCTTTACCCCCTCCACCCTTCCCTCTTTACAAAGACATTACTTCCATGTTTTTCCTTTTCACATATTTTTTCTTTTCCCTTTTTCCGTTTCCCCTACCCCTCCCACTTCCTCTACTCTTTTCTTCCTGTTACACAATATCAATTATACATTTTGATCCTTATTTACACTTTTGGATTTTCACACCAGAGAAACAATTTGCTATTTACACATGTGTCTTATTAATTTCACTTAAGACTATGGCCTCGATGTGCATCCATTTAGCTATAAATATCTCCAGTTTCTCATTCTTTATGGCTGAGTAGTACTCTGTTTTATATTTTCAAAAAACATATCTTCTTTATCCAGTATCCAGTTGATGGGCAATTGGGCTGTCTCCAAATTTTAGCTATCAAAAACTGTGCCATTATAATCATGGGTGAACATATATTGCTGTGATATGATTCTAATTATTTTGGGAAGATACCCAGCAGAGAAATAGCTGGGCCAAATGGAACCTCTAATCCTAGTTCTGTGAGGTATCTCTGTATTGATTTCCACAGTGGTTGCACCAGTCTGCACTCCCACCAACAATGGAGAAGGGTTTCTATCTCCCAATGACTCCACCAGCATTTGTTATTGGTTGATTTCTTTACATCAGCCATTCTTTGTGGGGTGAGGTGGAATCTCAGTGTTTTCATCTGCATCTCTCGAATGACCAGTGATGTGGAACATTTTTTCATATGTTTATCTTCTGCTTTTACTTTTTTATTTTTGAGAAATGTCTATTCATTTCAGATGCCCATTTTTGAATTGTGTCTTTATATTTGGGAGGTCTGATTTATTTTTTCATTTTTTATATATTCTAGATAGTAGACCTGCATCTGAGGAGCAGCTGGTAAAATTTTCTCCCACATTGTGGGTTGTCTCTTAGCTCTGCTTGTGATTTCTCTGGCATGATGACTTTCTTTTAAAAAGATGAAATTCCAATTGTCGATTCTTTGTGCTAGTTCCTGTGCTACTGAGGATTTGTTAGAGCATCTTGTTGGATTTTGCTTCTTAATCCATTCTGCCAGTCTATTTCTTTTAACTGGTGAATTAAGGCCATTGACATTGATGGTTATTACTGATATGTATTGACTTATCATTGTCACGTTATTTTCCTGTTGTTGGTTCTTTTTTATTTTTTTCTCCCCTCCAGTTAAATTCTTGCCTATTGGATTGTCTCTGCTGGGCCTCATGGAGTTGTGACCTTCATTGTCTTTTTTAGGATATTTTTCAAAATTGTTTGGAGTGCTGGTTTGGTATTGATGGAGTTTCTCAGGTATTCTTTGTCATGGAAGTATCTTATTTCTCCATCAATTTTGAAAGACAGTTTTGCAGGTTACATCAGCCTAGATTGGAGGTTGTTTTCTTTTAAAGCTTGAAATGCCTCACTCCAGGCTCTACTTAAGAGTTTGTGTTGAAAAGTCTGTTATGATTCTAATGGGCTTTCCTTTGCATGTAATTTGTTTCTTTTCTCTTACTGCTTGTAGTATTTTGTACTTCTGTTGGGTTTCCAGAATCTTGATTATTATATGTCTAGGTGTACATTTACTTTATTATAACTAGTTGGAATTCTGTATGCCTCACTTATGTGTATGTCAAGTTCTTTTGCTCTGTTTGGGAAGTTTTCTTCTATTACTTATGTGAACATGTTTTTTAAATGTCATCTGGGCTTTCTCCTGCTTTCTCTTGGTATCCTATTAATCTTACATTGTCCTTCTTATATTATTCTTCTATTCTATGAGCTGTTGGAATGATTTCTCATGGTCCCTTACTATTTTTAAGAGATCTCTCATTTTATGGTCACTGACCACCATCCTGTCTTCTATATCTGATATTCTGTCTTCAGATGGGGTTAGTCTGCTATGTATACTTTTAATAGAATTTTTAACCTCCTGGATATCAGTTTGAATCTGCTTCATGGATTCCATTTTTTTCTTATGTTGGGCCTTCATGGTTTGCATTCCTTTCCTGTGCTGAATTCATGGCTTTCATCGTGGTCCTGAACTCATCTATTTTTTATCTGTTTCTCTTATAGAGTTTATAATCATTTTTTTATCTGGGAAATTATTTATGTTTTGATTATTTTTAAAGCTTCATTCACCTGGTGTTTTTTTTTTTTTTTTGACTTCCTGTTCTATCAGTTCAGATTGTCCAGGTGGTTGATTATCAGACTTTTCCACTTTGTTTCCCCCAGAATTCGCCTTTGGCAAGCTTGAAGATTGTGATTTGTTTAAATGTCTTTTTATTTCTTTTATTATTGTTGGTATAGTCCCTGGTTTAAATCCTGGGTTGATACTTCGATATTACTTGTTGTATCTTTTTTTTTTTTTTTTTTTTTGTACCGGGATTGAACTCAGGTCCTTGCGTTTGCAAGCAGGTGGTAGCACCATTGAGCTAAATCCCCGGCCCCTATTGTAAGTACTGTTGTTGCTGGTATTTAGAATCCTTAAGGAATGATTGCTTCTCAGAGGTGTCTTCTAGATATAGCTAATCTTTAGGATTTGAGTCTCTAATAACTCTGGGGCAATCTCATTTTTATTATACCAGGAAAGATAACTGATTAGATCAATCACAACACTAGCCCAAGTGATAACAATGTACCTGTCCTGGGACTTCAAGACCAAGGAATTTCCTACCATCTCCTCTTATGACTTTCTGTGGGCTGGCCTGGAAAGTCTAATTTCTTACTGTGTTCTCTCTCTGTAACTTTTTTGGGTTCTCCTGGGTTGCATCATAAGTTTTTCAGTTGACTAAATTAAATCTGGCCCCTTCAAATTTTGGGGAGATGATTAAATGCATGGTAGCTTTTAATAAATGTTGCCTTCGAGAAGATCCATTTTACGATTTTCTCATGACAGTGATGAACCTCTCTGAGTGTTTCTTTATGCCTGTGAATAAATTAACAAAATGGATTGAGCATATTTTTATCTTGGTTCCTACTAATATTGACACAACAACTATTTTTAGTTTGTTAAGGAAATAATGCCAACTGGGAAAGCTAGATTTTTTGAAAAAGGAGAGGAAAAATAAAATAGAATCAACTGGAAAAGAATTTTGATAAGTTATTTTATTTTTCTTCTGAGCTACACAGAAAATAATGGGAAAGACAAAGTGTGTGTGGGGGGGGAACTCATCAAAAAATGTTTTAAGAAATTTTCTGGCTTCTGTTTACATTGACATTGCTGACCTAGAGAAATGGAGGAAAAGGAAATATGGCACGTTAGTAGACATTTTTCTGCAAGGCATTTTCATGTATGGGAGATAATCAAGAACAGAAAGGAAGGGAAGGGAGGAGGAGGTGAAGGGAGGGCAGGATAAGGGGAAAAAATGAGAACCAAGACCTGTCATGTAAAGGTACAAGATCCCAAAGATGAATGTAACTGTACTGTATAGCTAAAATGTACCAATAAACTCAATGAGAAAAAAAAGAACAAAAAGCAGTGTCACAAGGTGTGCGATGCCCCCCATGATGGTGAGGAAAGCAGTCCACATACTGGGTCTATTTTCTGTCAGTTGTGCCCTGGTCTGCCATGTCCCTCCCACACAGCTTCCTTGATCTTTCCTCCACTGACCCTGTCATAGGACAGATTCCTTATTGGTGAGGCTTTTTCCTAAGTTCTTCTGCTGACAATCTAGTTATGTTGTGTTAGAAATGAAATGTGCTAGAGATAAGTACTTCAGAGGGACACAGCCTTTCTCCTCCTTTGAAGAGGCAATGGCTTTATTTAGGAGAGTGTACATTAAGTCTTAATGTTTCCACGCAAGTCTCCAGTGGTCTTTCTTTTATAGATTCTAAAGGCAGGAACGTGTGTCAGAGCATCCAGGCAGAGAAGCTGTTGTATTTTTCAGGAAAATAATGGCAGCCCCAGCTGGGCTCAGCCTCGTTCAAGGAGAGTGAGGGGAGGGAGGACAGTTGGACAGTGAACTGTTGTAGCCAGCTTCATTTACTACTTTGCTTTGTATTTTAGAATTCTTTGGGGGGGGGCAGCTATTGAAGTAGTAATTCTGACCATAAAAAAAAAAAATCAGGAAAATTTTGAACAATTAAGGTTAAAAAATCCCACAAAATAACAGGGCTAGTAAATGTTGGTGTCTTTTTATCTGTACCATATTTTCTGAAGAGACAAATATAAATATTAAACAAACACACACACATTCTCTCCACCATGACACTTGGCCTTGCCTTAGGCTCAAAGTGATGAGACCAAGGAACCATGGACTGAAACCTCTGAAGCCACAAACCAACATTAAATATCCCTTCCTTAGGTTGTTTTTTCTCAGGTATTTTGTCACAGTGACAGAAATTTGACACAGAAACCTTCCTTTAGACTTCTTCTCACAGCAGGTAAAATCAAACTAACTTTGTACATTTCTGGCTAGGCACTCCCTATGTATTGAAATGAAATATAAATCATTGAATGATTGTGGGATTTCAGGATAAATCAGATCATAGAAGCAAGCCACATAGCGGCAGAAGGGGAGCTGAGGACAGCCTAAAGCTGCAAAGCAGGCCATGGTAACAGTGGAGGATTTGCGACTAAATAAAAAATGTGAGGAGAAAATTATTAACAGTTCGTTCCATTTCATTTGTATAATCCTATTCCAGTCAATCGAGACCCAGCAGTAAGGCAGGAAGCTTCCGTGTACAGTACCATCTGGAAGCATGGAGCACAGTACCAGCACTGATGGGAGGCCAAGCATTTTACTCTCAGGTTCCAGGTGACCCTAGGCAGAGAATGACTTATCTTTTCTAGCCTCAGTGCCCTTAAGTGTGTTCTAGGGATATTAAGACCTATTTCCCTGGGTGTCACAGGACACAAAGAGATAACTTACACAAGCCCGTAGTGCCATGTCTGATACATACGAAGCCCACAGTAAATGTCATCTGTGTCTGTAACCATCCAGGAACACAGGGAGGCATCTGCAGCTAGCTGAGATCTTGTGCTCAAGTCTCTGTAGCACAGGTCTGTGGCATTTTCAGGCAGTAAAGTGACAGTAAAATAAATTCAATTCCTTCTCATCAATGCAGCTGGTTTAATTTACTACCCACCCCCATCCCGTGTCAAGTAATGTTTTTCCGAACCCAGGTGGGAACTAAAACCAACTAAGCAGAGGAAATATAACCAAATAGACCAATACGGCACACATCAATGTGTTTTATTCACCTTCCACTCATACTAGTCTCTGGATTTGACTAATGGAATATGATAATGAATGGAGTTGGACCAGGTGATCTCTGGTTCCAAACACTGTGCTTTACCTGAGTCACCTATTTCTTTTTTTTTTTTTTTTTTTGGTACCAGGAATTGAACTCGGGTCTTTGTGCTCACAAGGCAGGCCACCAAACTGCTGAGCTAAATCCCCAGCCCAAGTCACCTATTTCTTATTGTCAACAGCTTTGGAACTTTTCAGAAATTTTGAGACAGGGTCTCATTACATTGCCCAGGCTGACCTTGAATTCATGATCCTCCTGCTTCAGGCTCTTGAGTAGCTGGGATTTTAGGTCTGCGCTGCCACACTTGGCTGCATTGAGACTCTTGAACTCCTTCCTGCCTCTGACTTCTAGCATAGTTCTATTCCTATTTATTGTTCATTTGTTTCATAGTTTTGTCTACATTTTAATAATTTAACTTGGGTATTAAAACTTGAGCGTATTAGAAGAATGGGATGTTTTCTCCTGTAGCTACTCCAGCTCCCCTTTCTACTCCTTTTTCCCACAAAAGGTAAAACCCACCTATTTGAATATGAGGTATATTACTGTTAGTTAAAGGTTTTACCCAGGAACTCAAGAACAGAGACAAAAATGAGGGCATTTTTGACCCATGCAATTCAAATATTTCCCAGTGACAGAGTTACTGTTGCCATGAAAGCAACCCTTCGCCTATCCTCTTAGCTAGTTCTTTTTACTCTGGGACACTGCATTAGCCCTGTCCTTTTATGGATGCTTGTCAGCAGTCTGTCCAGATAGCTCAGGAATGGGGATGCCTGGGACCTAAGGCAGACCTGCTGCCACCGAGCCTGCTGGAGAGAAAGCAGGAGCCAGGCTGGCACAGGCTGGCTCCCCAGCAGCCCTTCAGCTCTCCCTCCTTCATGGTTTGGTGGGCAAGGAATCTGGTTACCATGGAAACTCCAGCAGCCATTTCAGGCCGAAGGGAACATTCCCTAAGGCTCCTCTCCATCTGTGTGTCCTTGGCGATTTCCCTTCCTTGGTGAAGTGTGGGGAACCACTTCCTCCGGGGATCTCCCCCAGCTCAAGGATGATATAAATGGGCAGGGGAACTGTGTTGCCATGGTAGCAAGTCCTCTAGTTCTTCCATTCGAAGAAAGTCTGGCTCAAGGGATCTGCCTGGTGCTCTCAATGGCACAGTCAGCAAGGAACTGCAGTATCATAATGGCTTCCACACAATCTTTCCAAGCGAGGGGTTGGCTTTGTGGGGTGGCAGCTGGAGGCTGGGCAGGGAGTCTGGCTGGACTGCCTGCATTCCCAGGGACCTCACTGCCATGGTAACATCCCCAGTGGCAGGGACCAGGCAGGTCTCCAGTGCTACCTTTCAGGTCCATTCCTGTTTCCCTGTGTTTCCTCTCTTCTAACTCAAACCCCAGGGGAGCTGCTGGCGTCTCCCCTCCTGATTCTTGTAGTCACAGTCACAGTGGCAAAGCCTTTCCCTTGCTCAAGACTCCTATGCTTTCCCTTCCCTGTTGTCCACCAGAGCTTTTAAAAAACCCACTTTGTAAAAAGGAAAATCTCATATGCAAATTAATAGGGATAAGGGAAAAATCGCAAGAATTATAATTATGGGAATGCAGAGAGACCTCTGCGAGTTATGACTGTGTTCATCCATGTGAGGGCCTCTCCTTTCAACTCTTAGGCTGTCTTTCTGGTCCTAGGCCAGAAGCCTTCAGTGGGAACCATGGTGAGCTTAGGGTTTAAACCCCAGGATTGATCATGGGTGAATCAACTTCCTGTTTTGAGATATCTGTTTCCTTCATTCTTTTTCTTCACTCTTTTATTAGTGCACATTGGTCATACATGATATGGGGTTCATTTTGGTACATTTGTACAAGCATATAACATACTTGGTAACATCTCCCCTATTACCTCACTTCTCAGCCTCCCCATCTGTTTTCTCATCTGTAGAAGGAGAAAAATGTCATCCTTACCAAATCATCAGATGAGATTCGAAATACTGAAAGTATTTTGCCAATACTCTGGCACTTTATGAACCTTGATCATTTTGGTGATTTTCATTCCCACGGGGCATTCTTAATCGATCAATTCATTCAGTCATTCCACAGATGGATATAAAGCTCATTCTAGTTCTTCCCATAAGGCAGTTTCTGTAACCTCCAAGAGTATCACATTTTGCAGCTGTGCAGTGGGCAAACAGTAGCTTCAAAGTGCAATTTCTTTTTTTTGTAGTGAGGATTGAACCCAGGGGGTGCTGAGCTACATTTACAGCCCTTTTTACTTTACGTTGAGACTGGTCTAACCAAATTGCCAAGCCTGGATTCGAACTTGAGATGCTCCTAGCTCAGCCTCTGACTAGTAGAAGCAAGAGCAACCAAAGAGTGACTCTGAAGACCCAGCGGGATACTAAACATAAATGCATACAGCAGTCCCAGCGGAGAGCCCCTGCTCACCCAACGTAAGTGCCATGATTGGTTGCCTACTTTTTACTCTCCTGGATTTCTCCTCCAAAGGCTTGAATGAGCTAGCAGCTGTGACTCACACCTGCTTCCTCAAGCTCTCCTACTTCTAAAGGCTGAGAATTAGCAAAAAAAAAAAAAAAAAAAAAAAGTTTGGGATTGTGATCTGCTTA